CAAACAGTAAGCGTCAAACTCAGCGGTATCATACTCAAGAGACATAAAAGGCGTATGATAAGAAGCCAGGGGCCAGTGAGGTTCTAAAGTTGGAGATACATGAAGACAAAGCATAAAAAGCGCACAAGTATATTTAAAGAAGGTTTTAAATCGAGACCAAATACAGATGCATTAAGAACACAATTCCAATGGGTAATACGAGAAAAGGTTTGAACAAGGATTTGTTTGCCTTTGAAATAAGCAGGTGTGTCAGAAAGTGAAAGGTCCAGTACATCACAAAATATTTGACTGTCCTGCTGCATCACAGCAGCAAGCACAGAGTTGTTGCTCAAGAGACCAATGAAAAAAAAAATACAGAAATGTCAGAGCAACGTCCAATACCTCCCCATGGTCCACAAATAGAATGTCGGCGCAAGACATTCAGCAGCGCAGAAGGGACATATACTGGGACAAATGGGATCAGTGAACAAGATGCAAAAATGCAAGGTTTGAAGTCCATTTCAATGGCATGTATTGGGCCTGGACAGTTTCTGGCCAACCATCAATGATGAGTGATGGGACAGGCACTTTGTCTTTGGACCATCTAAAAATTCCTGCCAAGAACACCAACCAGAATAGAAAAAATGCAGAGCACCAAGCGGAGCACAGATGAAGCACAAACAAACAATTTCAGTAGCATTCAGCAAAGATAAGAGAAATCCCTGTCAGTTGGATGGCGTAGGTTGCACCGCCCCCGTTTTTGACTAAAACCTCGAGGTTCAGAAACAGATTGTCAAGAAGAAGAGGTTGAAAAATTGTTGGCAAAACTGGACACACTGTGGGCAAATCGTCATAAAGTGGAACGCCTGAGACGGGAGTTTGATAGGGGGAGAAGACTCACAAATCCCAGAGATGGCTGGGGAAGCAGGAGGGAAAACCTCACAAAAACACCAGAATGCCCCAAAAAAGCAAAGCAACAGAGAGGGGAAAGTTGAGAAAGATTGAAAACGGCAAAGAGGGTAGCTAGATCAGTGAAATCAGAAAGAATACCGGCGAAAACGGACACTTGCCCAGAAGGAGCTGGGGAAACATATGCGCAATCAGTAAAAAGAATTAAACGCGCGAGACGGATAATTGAGGAAACAAAAGAAAAATTCAAGGGGGACGGAGACGGAACAGGGGCAGTGGAAGGGTCTGGAGCAGGGGTCGAAGAAAGTGACTCACGTAAATCGAACTCAGGAGGAGGAATAACCTCTCCAGAGGAGGATGTAGTAGCCATGGGCAATGGGACCAGATGAGAAGAGAAAAAAAAAACCTCACGTCTCTGCTACCAATTTTTGTGCCGGAATCGGCACAAAAGGACAAGGAATTCAAAATAAAATAACACTGTAATCAGGTGTGGGGTGCACCTGGGGATCTTGTTGTCAAGATCCCAAAGAATAAGATAAATGTATTTCATTAAACCCCAAATCACAATCACCAACAAAGATAAAACACACAATCACAATTGACTAAACTCGATGGACTCTCTTCCAGTACTGAACTGGAGCTTCCCAAGGAAATGGCGGCGAGTTGATGCTATGGAAAACCTGAGAAAGGTCTCGAATGTTCAAGATTAATCCAGCATAGATTTATGGTACTTTAACGTACC